AGACGCAGAAGAAGAGGGGAAAATAACTGCAACCGGCCGTGAGCCTTGCGTGCGACTTTGGATACCGTTCAGTCGAATGCCATAAGAGGGTGTGTTAAGGCAATTGAAAAAGAGTTCGAGGGAAAGAGGGTAGCGATTAGTAGGAAAAAATAATTGGGTGAGAAAACGGCACGGAGGAAAAAAGTGGAATTGGCAATTGGTGGAGAATCGGCAGGCCCGTTCAAATTGCCGACCTTTAGAGGGCGACTCGTCGTTGAACACTGGTTGTTCAAAATGTAGAATCAGATGTATTGGCAGCGACTTTTAATCAGGCGCACAGAGAATCTGGCGATGCGATGTAAAAGAAGAACAGTAGAGAAAAAGGGGAAGGCAAGAGGCAAAAAGAGGGGAAATGGCTACGTCTGGCAAGTGATGACGGCAGGAACAATGCGCATACAGGCGAGCGGCGTGTGAGCGAGGGAAGGTACAGACCACACGACCACTTTCGATCGCAGTGTCAGCGTAACCCAACGCCCCTAACTTCTTGCTAAAAGACAGCGGTTGAACATCCGTTTTGTTCTGTCCCGAGCCAGCCGTTGAATTGGTGGTGTGACTTGTCCAAAGTCCGTGTCTTAACAAGCCAATCACCAAACTCTGGAAACATGCCGCTAGGCCCAGATAGGTAGGCAGGCACTGGGTGGTTCGTCTTTGTCGTCAGTGCGCATCCACGACTTCGGTGTGCACGTGATGCGGGGAAGCAAAAGAAAATGGGACAGAGAATGTCGTGTCACAGGTCTCTCGAGAGCTGAATAAGCTCACGTGATTTGTCCAAACTTGGACTAGTGCTTTTCGCTTCATAGTACCTGCCCACTCGGCTTTTGAAGTGCCTATCACTCCTCCTCTCCAATAAGACCTTGCCACCCTGCCCTCCGAAATCCCTTTCCATTACTTGCTCCCTTCATTTCACTTCTTCGGCCTTCCGTGGACTCTCATTTCTCTTCCCTTTCCCTTCGTAATCCATCTTCACAACACCGCGTCCATCGCGACCATTCCCGTTTATCTTCGCCGGTGTTCTCGTTTCCCATCACGTTCCTTTGTTCTGTACTTTTCCCCTATTCACATCACTTTGGGCCCTTTTTGTTTTCGACTTTCTTCGACCTCTTCAACGACTCGACGACCATCGGGACACGCGAAGCGCACAGCATTGCATTGGCACCAGCTGCATCGTCGAGACGACCGAACGCGGCCTTCGCCATCTTCCCTGAGAGACTCTATCGAGACACCGAGCGAGCAAGACTCGCGCGTGCCCTCGTGCCGCCATCGCAAGAACGAGGAGGCCGGTTGCTAACGAACAAGTTCAGAAAGAGGTTGTGCTTTGCGTGGGAGACAAGACAAGGCGTGGTTGTACGAAAGAAGACAAAAGCAGAGGAAGAACAAAAGAACCATATAAGCCGGCTTTGGTGGAGGGAAAGACAGTTGTGTTTCGACTGCTGTGCTGTCGCTCTCTTCCTTTGTGCTTATTTTCTGTTGGTCCCCTTTTATTCTCCCCTGCTTGTTGTTTCTCTTGTCTGCAGAAAGACTTGTCTCTTTTGGCTGCGTTTTCTAGAAGCCAGGAGCCTTTGTACTATTCTTCTTGTCGTTTTTGTGTTTTTGCTTTTTCGCTCATTTACTTTCTCTCCGTTTCTCTTTTTTTTCTCACGCATGAGTATCACCAAAAAATTGATTTAACCATTCCATGAACCTTTTTGCCTGCTAAAGCAAAGAAAAGGAAAAGGCTTGCGAATTATCTGGACGGACGAGATAGGAAAGAGAAAAGAAAGAACAGAGTCACGACTGAAAAGCTGGAAGAACAAAAAAAAGTTAAAACAGGAGGACACAATAATTATCATCACAATCAGGTTTACATCTTTCCTTTCACTACACAGCTTTCTTGTTCTCTGTCTTCTTCATCTACCTGACAAAGCAGGACTGCCTGCGTAGACCGCATACGGCAGACCTGACACAACACACTTCAACAGCCACCCATTATCGACAAGTTCGACCCTACATCAACCATCACGATGTCGTCTTCCGTGTACTTCAAGTTCAAGTCTCAGAAAGAGCCAACACGAGTGGAGTTCGACGGCACGGGCATCTCGGTGTTCGAGCTGAAGCGTGACATTATCATCAAGAGCGGCCTCGGCGATGGCACCGACTTTGACCTGGCGATATATACCGAAGATGGAAAAGAAGGTAAGTAGACTTGTTCGTACAATTATTTGTAGACAGACGACAGCAGGCTAACAGTGACAGAATACGACGATGACACAACCATCATCCCGCGGTCGACGACCGTTGTGGCACGGCGGTTACCGCCAATGAAACCAGGCGCCGGCCGGGCAGCTCGCTATGTGTCGGGCAAGATGCCAGTGAACGCGAAGAATGCGTCCCGGCGCGAGCAGACGGCCAAGGCCGCGGCCAAGAGCACGTCGAATGCGCTTGAGCAGATGAACAACGCCATGACAGAAGACGAGAAGCTGGCGGCCATGTTTGCGGCGCAGTCGGAGCAATGGAACGCACAGCAAGAGGAGATGTCACAGTATGTTCCAATCCTTTTTATGCCCTTGTCTTTGGACTTGAATATAACACACCTTGAGAATGATCTGCTAACACGTTATAGTCAAACACCCATATTCAAGCCAGGCAGCCGGCGGCCGGCCAATGTGCCCGACCACGAACCACCCAATGGCTACATCTGCTACCGGTGCGGCGAAAAGGGCCACTGGATCCAGCTATGTCCAACCAATGACAACCCCGAGTTCGACAACCGGCCACGTGTCAAGCGGACGACAGGCATCCCACGGTCGTTCCTCAAGACGGTGGACAAGGCGGCCGTGCTGGCCCAGGCCGCGGACGACGACACCAAGGCGCCATCCGGCATCATGGTCAATGCGGACGGTGACTTTGTGATTGCCGAGCCCGACAAGGCGTCGTGGGAAAAGTTCCAGGCCAAGACTAAGTCGGGTGCAGCGGCACAGGAGGTGGCGGCGCTCGGCGACAAGGAGTTGCAGGATCGGGGGCTGGAGTGCCCGATCGACAAGAAGATGTTCATAGACCCAATGAAGACCCCTTGCTGTGAGAAGACGTACTGCAACGACTGCATTACCAATGCGCTGATTGAGAGCGACTTCGTCTGCCCCGGGTGCCAGTCGGAGGGTATTCTAATCGACGACCTCAAGGCGGACGAGGAGGCCGAGCAGAGGATCCAAGCCTACCAGAAGGACAAGGACGCCAGCCAGAAGCAGGCGACGGCCGGGGAGGACCCCAAAAAGGATCCGGCCGCAGCAACAGAGTCGACATCAACAGCAACCACCAAAACAACACCATTACTAAATCCTGAAGGCGCGGCGACCGCGACGGCGGAGAAAGCAGGCAGCAAATCGCCAATCGCGGCAGCCGCATCAGCGTCCACACTACAAACCACAGACGTTACCCAAAAGGATGGCGAATCAACCGAGGCAACGGCTGGCGACGTCAACAATAAGAAGCGACCAGCCGAAGAGGAAGCCGTGAACCCCAAGGTTCCCAAAGCGCCCAAGGCCATGCAACAACAGCAGCAACAACAGCAGCAACAAGAGCAGCAGCAGCAGCAGCACAACACCCAAACGATGGGTAACTTCATGGGTGGCATGGGCGACATGAACGCGATGGGCATGGGAATGCCTGGGATGAACGGTATGCCGGGCATGAACATGAACAACATGAACAACATGAACAACATGAACAACATGAACATGGGCAACATGGGCATGATGCCGTTTGGCGGGATGCCGATGATGAACTATGGCATGGGCGGCAACATGGGAAATATGGGAAACATGGGCAACATGAACATGATGAACCCAATGATGGGCATGAACGGGATGAGTGGGATGAACGTGATGAACGGGTATGGCGGTGGCTATAACAACAACGGCGGCGGCGGTTACAATCGGGGCAACAACTATCAACATAACCAGGGCTGGAACAACGGCAACCGAGGTGGTTATAACAATGGTGGTTACAATACCCGATACAACAACTACCAGAACCAGAATCAGGGCCAAGGCCAGGGCTACAACAACTACAACAACAATATCAACGGCAACGGCAACGGCAACGGCAACGGCAACGGCATAGGCATAGGCATGAATAGCAATGGAAACAACCAGGCCAACATGCAGTTGGGCAATGGCGATGGGAATATGGCCGGCAACAAGAATGGCGGCACCGAGGACGATGCCTACTTCAGAAAGCCCGTCAACCCGACACGTCACTTCAACAAGCCGAAGCGCGTGCGCCCGAGCGACTACCGTGAGCTGTGAAGGAGGATGGGCCCGTCTACGTTGACCACACGCCCGACCATTTTCCGGTTTGATACCCCTTTTTCTCTGCCGGCAAGCCACCAAACGCCAGCATGTACGTATCTCTGTTCTTAGTTTTGTATACAGTCGCATAAGCGTTGACAATAACCCGCCTCAAAGACGGGTATTCTTTTTGCTCAAAAGTTTGACTGCCCGTCACTTGATTCACCGGTTTCTTGTGCTCCGCTTTGCTTTTTATTTCCGTCCCTCGTTTTGCTATGACTATTTTTGATGAAGAGAAATTCAGATAGTTACGTGGTTTTTCTATGGCGTTGGGTTTCGAGGAAGACTGGACTTGGTACAAGAATTAAAATAAATAGAAAATCAAAATAACAAATGACAAATAATCACTTTACTTATGGCAGACCATTTCAGTGACCTGTTTGAATGCAAAGGACATGTTGTGATGTAGACTCTGTTCGGAAGTCAAACCTCCCGGAACAGGCCCCTAATGCCATACTGTGTAGCACAGTGTTTATACTGTAGAAGCCCACGGCACTTCGAGTACCGGTTTTTCACACAATTCCCGGCACCTAAACCTCGGCCGGCAGACGCGCGCACTCCACAGGTACCTACTTCCTCAATTTTCCTGGCCCGTTTCTCCTCTTCTCCTTCTCTGTTCCTTTCGTCGCCCTCGACATGCGCCCTTCACTCCGCTTCCTGGCCTCCGCTGCGGCGAGCCCCAAGTCGGGCAGTCTGCGGCCGGCGCCCATGGCGCTTCTGCCGCCAATTCCCCTGTACCGGCGGCTGCTGCGGGCGCACCGCAAGCATCTTCCGCACGAGATGCGCACGCTGGGCGACGAGTACATCAAGGCCGAGTTTCGCGCACACCGCAAAGTGGACAACCCGCAGCATTTGGTAGGTCCAGCTGGCGGCGGTATGAGGAGGAAAATTCTCTTCTTTTTTTTTTTTGTTCGTGCTCAATACTGACAGTTCGATAGATTGGCTTCTTGACCGAGTGGCAGCTGTATGCGCAAAAAATCGAGGGCGATTCGTGGGTGGGCGAGAAGCTGGACCCGGTCAAGGTGGCCAAGATGAATGGTAAGTTTGCTCTCTCTGGCAATTCTCTCCTGGCAATGCTCAGTCTGCTTCGTGAAATTAACGAGAACATGGTAGATCAACAAGTCGGCCAGCTGTACGAGCTGATGGTGGCAATACGAAAGCACCGCGCGGACGACGGCGAGGACCCAAGCGGACAGGAGACGGCATAGGAGAAAAGTACGTCAAAAAAGTAAAGAGTAAAGGGCGCACACTGTAAGATAGGGTATACATTGTCTAGATCACGCTATAAAAATAAAAATAAGATGAAAATGATGCACAAAAATGCATGACAATTGCTTTGAGACCAGTGTACAGCTGCGTGAGAAGGCACGGCTTCAAATCTGCTGCGACCGCAGTGCTTCGACAATCCAGTCGCTCTGCACGGCGCTTACCTTGCGCGCATAGTTCTTGGTTGTAAAGACCTGCTCCAGGTACATGATGGCCTCCGTCTTGCGGCCGTGCAGCACACTCGACGGGTGGATGGCGACCACGTGCTTGCCCTCCGTCGTCACATAGCTGCCATCGGGCGCCAGCATGGCCGTCTTGAGGACGAATCCGTTCAGGAAGCAGCGCAGCAGGGCGTCTGTGCGGTCGGGCGAGAGGGGGACAAAGTTGGCTTCGGACGATGAGAGCGCCTCGTTGGCCTCGGCCACGTCTTCGGCGGCGAGCATCTTTTGCCGCACGCAGATGCCGCGCAGCTGGCGGCGAATGTTGAGCGCCTGGCGCATGTTGCGCAGGTTGATGCGGCGCTTCTGGCACCACGGCTTCCACAGGTTGCTGCGCACAGTGACGAGCCGCTGCATGGTCGTCAGGTACGTCAGCAAATCGCCCTCGCGCCGGAACAGCTCCTTGCGGAACTCGTCGACGTCGTCGCGGTCCTGCTCCGACTGCAGCCGCAAGAAGATGTCGTCGCCCGCCGTCAGGCACGCCACAATGTCAATGGCCTCGAGCAGGCAGCCCGCCGCGGCGGCGTCTAGGAGCACGCGGCCAAACGCCGCCGACACGGGGAGCAGCGACATGGTCCGGCCGTCCTCGGTGATGGTGACGTCATCGGCCAGCGCGCCCAGTCGGCGCAGCTGAATCAGCGACCGCTCCATCAGGTCGTGGTCCGGCTCGTCCATGAGCGGGAACGTAAACGTGTTGTCGATGCCGCGCGCCTTCATGGTCAGTACGGCGCCCAGAAGGTCAATGCGCAAGATCTCGGGCAGCTCGACGGGTGCCAGCTCCTGGTTGTACGATTGCTCCGTGTACAGTCGGTAACACTTGCCCGGACCCTCGCGACCGGCACGGCCGGCGCGCTGGATGGCCGACGACTTGGCAATGGGTTTGGCCAGCAGCGACTCGAGGCCCAGACGCGCGCGGAACATTTTGACCTTGGCCTTGCCGTTGTCGACGACATATCGTACGCCGGGCACAGTAACGGACGTCTCGGCAATGTTGGTGGCGAGCACGACCTTGCGCGTAAAGGGGCGGCTGGCTGGTTGGAAAGCTTTGTTCTGGGCTTCGATGGACAGCTGGCCATAGAGAGGGCAGGCCTCGACATGGGGCACATTGGACGCAAGGTTGGCCGCTCGTTCATCGATGAGGCGCTTGGCGGCATCGATTTCTTCCTGGCCGGACAGGAACACGAGGATGTCGCCAGGCAGCGGCTCTTGGACGTGGATCTGGAACACAGTCTTGACCAGGGCCTCCAAGATGTCCTCGACGGGTTCGGGCGTGTGGATGATCTCAACGGGAAATTGTCGTCCAGGGATGTGCAAGACGTCGACTTTGGCGTGTTGTGGACGGGCCACCGCTGATGGTGCAACAACCGTATTTGCATCGGTCGTGAAGAAGGAGTGGATCTTGTTCACGTCAGCCGTGGCACTCATGACCACCACTTTGAGAGGGTGTCTGCTGTCACGTTGTTGCCGTTTTCCAAGAGCACGCGCCGAACTGTCGTCATCGTTGGCGGCCGCTCGGTCCTTGGCAGACGACTGCAGTATCTGCCTCAGAAAGCCCAACAATAGGTCTGCGTCCACGCTCCGCTCGTGCACCTCGTCCACGACGACCGCACTATACTGCCGCAACGCCGGGTCTCGCACCATTTCTTGCAACAGCATTCCCTCCGTCAGGAACTTGACCTTGGTGCCCTTTGGTACCTTGTGGTCGAACCGCACCGAGTAACCCACGCGGCCACGTGCATTGGGGTCGTTTGCATCGATTCCTGTGAGTGGCGTGCCCATCTCACGCGACACGCGGTTCGCCAGCGTGGTCGCGGCCACTCGACGCGGCTGTGTAATGGCCACAAGACCCGTGCACCAGGGTTCTGTGCATAGGTACTGAGGCACCTGCGTACTTTTGCCGGAACCAGTCTCGCCGACAAGGACGAGCACGTCGCTCGTGCTCAGGGACTGCCGGATTGCGTTGCGGCTGTCCCAGATGGGCAGAGCTTTCCGCGTGGCAAACAGAGATGGGTCACCCGTGATGTGGTCGTCGCGCCAACGGCCGCCGTCGCCGCCTCGCTGCTTGCCTCGCCGTCTCTTGCGGTTTCCAGAGGTCAGAGCGGCGGCATCCGCATCGGATCCTGGCTGTTCCTCCTGGGCCGTGGCATCATCGGTTGTCGGCTTCTCTTGTATAGGAGACGCCTCTGCCCCTGGTTCTGTCGTTGACTCTGCCTCTTTTATGACCTCGTCGTCGGCATCCTTTTTCGAAGGGCCGTTAAGGAAAAAGTCCAGGTCAATAAAGCCGTTGCCGACCTTGTAGACATGCTTGGACCTTTGCTCGGATTTTCGCCGCTTGGACTTGGGTGCCGTGGACATGCTGTGCGGTTTTGCGGTTGTTTGCCGCTGATGTGACGTTTCTTCAACGTTCGATGTTGACGGTGGCCACTGAGAATGAGAATTTTATGGATTTTCAATGCAGTTTGGTACCATCAGCAGCGGAGGTAAGAGCAAGGCTGAATTTTTTAGACGGGATTGCCGTAAACGGCAATTAGCTAGGACAATCACGTGGTGGGAGAAGAGTGGGCCTATCGTTCTGCGATATACTTCGCACAAGGTTACCTTGCGACTTCATCTCGACCTCTTGCGGTGGTCTTGGTTCGTTGATGTTCACAGCATCAACACCGAGTTTAATATATGGCTGTTGTATTTCTGCGAGTGCGTGTACACTTGCGATGGGATAGATTCCGGGGCTGGTATCGGGATAGGCGCATGGTTCAGATGTGAGCTCATCTTTTGCTCCTCGGCCTCCGTCATCTCCTCATTGTTTTTCTTCTGTCCCTTTATTCTTCCCTTCGTATATTCCTACGTTCTTCTTCCTTCTGTTTTCGCTACCTGCTATTTTTCTTGCTATTTCTTTTCTCTCTCTTCCACTTCCGTTTCTTTTCCCCTTCTTCATCTCATCAGGCACCATGATGAACATGAAAGTCCCTCCTCCCGTCGTCCATGGCAAGGTATACGGCTTCTCAAACGTCACATATCGTTCATGGTTATTTTTGCACTGAGATGATCAGTATAAGGATGACCATCGTCGGCATTCACGTGCTAGGCGTTTGGAAACATATGTGTGTATTTACCGAACAAGATACCACCAGGGACGTTTTCGTCGTCGATTTTCAACTGTTTGAGTTGGCTTGTCCCATTGTCCCCTGTAGGCCGCTAATGCTACAGTGCATCTAGGCACCTGGTCATAATTAACCATCCCCTAAAAGTGGACGGATTCAAGCTTTAGGCGGTTCACTAGCGCTATTCTGTGTCATTATGGATCTGGTCAGCCTTGTCGCGACGTCGTTTCTCACTGTCAACTGTCAGTGCAGCACCGCCTCTCTTCTACCGGACACGCCGGAAACCTCGCGACTCTAAACCATTCATCGCGACGTCAAGTCTCCAATTCTCCAATTACTGTCGATCTCATAATACACCGACTCGCCATTCTCCCCACTCTACCTGAATTCGAGGTACCTTTGCGGCCGCTCCATGCCCACCATGGCTGAGCCCCTGGAAATCAGCGCCCTCACGCTCAACTGCTGGGGCCTCAAGTACATCTCGGCACTTCGCACCGAGCGTCTCGCCGAGATTGGCCGTCGTATTGCCGCCCTGGCCGAGCCATCGTCGACACCACCACTATCATCATCATCGTCGCCGTCATCGCCTCCGACCACACCCCTCTCCATTGTTGCCCTTCAAGAGTGCTGGTGCCACGAAGACTTTGAGGCCATCCACAACCTCACTCGCCATGCCCTGCCCTTTGCCAAGTTCTTCTACGGCGGCATCTGGGGCGCCGGCCTCGCCGTGCTCTCGCGCTGGCCCATTACCCAGACCAGCATGACACCGTACTCTCTGAATGGTCGCCCCACGGCCTTTTGGCGTGGCGACTGGTTTGTCGGCAAGGGCCTGGCGAGCGCGACCATCCGCGTGGACGACACCACGGCCGTCGAAGTGCTCGTCACGCATACGCACGCGCCCTACGAGGGCGGACGGCCCGACGACTCATACCTGCTGCACCAGGTCGCGCAGACGTGGGAGGCCGGCAAGCGCATCCGGGCGGCGGCGGAGCGGGGACGGCTGGTGCTGGCCATGGGCGACTTCAACATGACGCCCGACTCGCTGCAGTACCAGTCGCTGTATCTGGGCGCGAACGCGGCCTCGCCAGTGCTCTCGTCCTCGACCTCAAACAACTTTGTCCTCCACGACACATGGCGCGACCTGCACCCAAACGCCGCGCTCGGCAACTCGTACAACCCACTCGAGCAGGCCCGGCAGCGCCAACTCTCCCCCCACGGCCAACAGACCATCCCCACGGCCTCCTTCAACCTCGCCGAGAACGGCACCGCCTCCGACAATGTCCTCAACACCTGGCGCTGGCCCAAGGACAAGCAGAAACGCCTGCACAAGAGCTACCAGCGACGCCACCAACGCCAACAGCAACAGGGGAAACCAGCGGCTGACGAGGACATCGACAGCGAGTTTGTCGTCGCTCTAGATACGCCCGACCCGGCTGCGAAGCGCCTCGACTACGTCTTCTACGCCGCGCCGTGTCCTCCGGGTGCGTCTTTTTCTACCACCCCCGAACGGCCCGTTTGGCGCACAAAGACGGCCCGTGTCGCCATGGTCGAGCCCCACCCCACCCTCGGCTGCTCCGTCAGCGACCACTATGCCGTCGCTGTGACCATTGTGCGCGAGCCGGCCGCTGCGACGGCCGAAGCAGACACTTCCGGCATCCCGACCGTGCCCCACTCCGCCTACGACAGCGTCCTGGCCGAGTCCGACCGCTACATGCGGCGGGAGCTCAAGCAGCGGTACTGGCGCAGTGTGCACTTTTTCGTGTCCGTCACCGTCACCATTGGCTGCTACGTCGCCGTCTGGTTTAGCCCTCGCAATTTTGTCGCCTTCTTGCTCACCCTGCTGGCCAGCCTGGGCCTTGCCACAGGCGTCGTCGACGGACTGATTGCCCTGCTTTTTTTCGGCTCAGAGATCCGCTACATCAAGGACTTTCACTGGGAGATTTGCAATGCCAAGGCCGCTGCTTCGGCTGTCCGCGCCTCATCCTCGCATTCACAAGACAAATAAAACTTTGGCAGGCACATTTGATTTCTAGGATTTCCAAGCGTACGCACGTCTTTATCAACTTTCTTTTTAATTAGTCCTTTTAATCGATACCGCAAAACTAATAATGATAACTTTGTATGCTCTATTCCAGCTACACGTCCCAATCTACTCAGAAGCATCCACGGTGTGTCGACCGCATCACGGCGAGGCTGCCCTCCTCATTTCGGTCATAGTTAGCCAATGTTGTGTGCGGGTTCATTCTCCGCCAAGTGTATCCCAGAAACGCGTTTCGCTTGCGTAGCTCCATCGAGATCTTCTTTGTTTTGGCATTTCGCAGAAGCCGGTCGCGTGGGCGCTTTCGCTCCTTCTTTCCGAACTTTGCGACAAAGCGAATAAGCGCCTCGCCATCGGCCATAGGGAGGCCCAAAGCAACCAGCTGTCCGATCTCTGCTTCAATGGCCTTGAGCCGGGACGAGTCGAATGGAGTAGCAACCCAGGTAAGGGCCCTCATTTGAATATTCACGTCGAAGCCTTGCAGCGCCTCGTCGATTCTGTCTGCCATTTCCTTCTTATTTTTTGCTGCATAATCCTTTTCCATGAAGTCGTCGTCTTTTGGGGGAGGGGAGGGAGCGCGTGCGGCTTCGTTCTTATCTGCCTCTGACGCAGACTCGGAGCTGCCATCGGTGTCGGATTTGAAACTATCATCAAAGTATTGTGTGTCGTCTTCCGTCCGTAATTTCGGTACGAATGGCGGTGGCATCATGTACAGCCTTTCCCATGGCAGTCCCTTGAAGAACTTGTGTGCTTTGATATCTTCGGCATCGTAGGGAAACACATATTGCCGAGCTATGCTGCGTCCGGCCGCGAGTCCGAAGCCATCTCGGCTGGTTGTGCTGCCATTGTCCGTCATGACGGTGGAGCCGTCTCGGGAATCGAGCCGCTCCAGCTCGGAGATGGCTGTATCCTTGAGCCGGTACCGTTTCGAACAAAGGCGTTGAGACTTGTCGGTCACCAAGGCAGTTAGAAGTTGTCGGCATCGTCGTGATACTGGCGGCCAAGACGGGATGGTAAATGAAGTTTCGTGGTTCTAAATAGATTGTCAGAAAAATTGTAACAATCTGGTGCTCCTTCCTGTGACCAAGAAAGAAGCTCACAGTAATGTTTTTCTTGGTCTCTTTTCTGCCCTCGTCGGAGAGAAACGGCGTGCGGCCGTAAAGACACTCGTAGAAGATCACACCGATGCTCCACTAATCACAGCGGCCGTCGTAGGTTTCTCCCCTGACGACTTCTGGCGCCATGTACTGACTTGTGCCGACGATGCTTGTCGCCGAATAATGGTTGCCGCATCTGTTCCGCCACTGGAGAATCGGCTCTTTGTTGTCGGCATCTGGCGGTCGCTGGTGTTTCTCCAAGCTTGACATCATGCTGCTGCTGCATACCATCGTCCCGGGCCTTCCGACACTCTCATCTTTCTGTCGGTCCAACTCATCGCCCGGTACATAAATGCCAAGATTCTGAAGCAGCGAGTATCGTGTGCTGCTGTAGTACTTAGAGTCATGACTCCAGTGGCCGTCAAATGCCAGGCCAAAATCTGAGATTTTTAAGTGGCCTGATGCGCTGATCAGGAAATTGTCGGGCTTGATGTCTCGGTGAATGAACTGCAGAGCGTGTGCTTCTTCAACGCAAAGAATCATCTCTGCAATGTAAAATCGGGTAACTGCTTCGTCGAGAATGTTTTCTCGGATAAGCAGACCGAGGAAATCACCGCCAGGCATGTACTCCATGACAAGATACAAGTTGGCGACATCCTGGAAACTTGCAATCAGTGGCACAGCCCTTAAAATTGTTAGAAGCGCTCGTACCTGGACCACCAGCGCAAAATACTCACCAGTTTGATCCTTCGGATGAGACCAAAAAGTCACGTTCGGCCCGTACATGGCCTTCCTGCCCCGAACGAATCATCTCTGACTTGCGGATGACTTTCATTGCGTACACCTGCTTGCGCTTTTCCTTGACGACCGCGGGACTGTCGAACGCGGTCGGCTTTTCACGGACGAGCCGGACGGTGCCGAAGCTTCCTTTGCCGAGGATCTTGAGCATCTCAAAGTCGGCTGCGCATATTGACGCATGCAAAAGAGAGGGTCCATTGCCCTCATCTAAGAGGAGAGACCGGGTGCTCCTTGCCTTGAGAATGCGGTTTTCCCTCAAGTGGAAGGATTCTGCTCGATAAAATGCTTCGAGATAGGCTTGCCGCCCCCCAGAGGTCAGATTCCTTGCGTTGACAAGCTGAGTCTCGACATGGTAAGCCCTTAGAGCCCGGGGTGTCGGCCCACGGAGGAGCTCATTGTAGTGTATCTCGAGAAATATTTTGGCTGCAGCAGCCAGCTCCACAGTTACTACCGAGGGCCTCTCCAGAACGACCGGTTTATCAGGTATGGTGATAAGTGCGGTTGAATCATTTGGCCCATTGTTCAGACGACAGTCCCCAGGGCGAACTCCTGAAAGGGCTGTCTCTCGAGGCGGAGACAACACCGGCACATAAGCCTCTTTTTCTACCGTGACCGCCTTGACGGGATCTTTGACGGGAGGCGCCAATTTGACATCAAGGTCGACATTGGCAGTCGAAAGAGTCGGCGTCGGAAAGATGCTCTTGCTGTCGATATCAATGTCTACCATGGGCTCGCCTTTCTTGATGTTGACCGATTGCAGCTGTGGCGATCCGTTTGTCGATGGTTGCGTGTCAGACGCACCGTTGTTTGAAGGCGGCGTTTGGCTGCCGCTAGTCGGCGTCGCGGTTGACTCGGACGACTGCGGAGCGCTGGGCATTTGCAGGTCGAACGCTGTTGGTTTGGTAATCACAAACGAGTTGTTGCACTGGTAGTATTTCATGTAATAGCTACCCCGGGCTGCGGGCCCAGGCAAGACAGCGACGGGGCTTGATACAGAGCGCTTCTTGCAGGTAGGGTCTCGGAATATTGCCACTGGGGCACGAGCGAATGCGAGCAAGTGTCCAAATTTCTTCACGCTGGTTGTGTTTCCGGAGAAAGTGCGATTCTGGCGAGAGGGCTCGTCTTTCGTAGAGTCCATTATGGGCGATGATAGGGGGAGGCGATTCTGGGGTTTGTCGTGGGTGTGATAACGATTTTGCATAAGAGATCTTTCGTCGAGCACGATAAGAAGCGATTCGACTTGGAATAATGAAATATATAGGCAACAACGATAACGGAGAAAAATACAGTAGACAATCGCAAGAGTGGCCACGAAGCCGGTGTCGCGGCTCGATGCTTCGACAATGTGGAAAGTGTAAATGAACAAGGTCAGGATCAGGAGACAAGCACAGTAAGTGGCCGAAAAGGAGTATCAGCGAAATCAAAACAAGCAAATAATGGCAGGGGAACTACGACGAACACATAAAGACATGGACGCAGTGCGGAGTGTTGCACCTTCCTGCTTTACCGATATGTATCTTCCACGGCTTAGCATCACCAGCCATGGAAAGAGCGAGCCACCATCTCACACTGTTGTCATCGGGATTGCAGGTATCGTTTTATGAAGACGTTAGCAGACATCGAAGTCAGCACAGTAATGCTGTTCGTTTAGATTATACATGCGCTAGTAAACACATGCCGCGAGACACAAAACGTTAATGAAGCAATATTATAGAAATGACAACAAATAATGACATATGAATATATAGGAAAGGTTTGTACCGCAACAAACAACGTCTATGAAAACGGCACATTTGGCCAGACGCATAAAAGTGTAACAGCAAAAGACTGACGATAAACAACCCAATTTTGAAAACCATAGGGAAAACATGACCAATGCAGCCTAGTAAACAAATAACTACACAAACGGCGAGGAAGACACAAGCAAGTAATGAAGCAAAGGATAGAACCCAGATAAGGCACCGAACGGGCAAAGCAGGCAGATGCAATTATAGTACAGGGACGCCTGGAAGTCCGTCTTTGTGCTGTTCCCTTACCTCACCTTTCTGTCTTTTGCGTCTGGCATCATCTCCTCGTCGTGTCTCCTCTTCTCGCTCCATTTTTTTTTGTTATGTTTCAGAAAAAGTATTTTTGAGTTGCGTGTTTGGCGGGTTTACTTGATCTCGAGCAGCTTCACATCAAAGATGAGAGTGCTGTTCGCCGGGATGCCGTCGAGCTTCTTGGAGCCGTAGGCGAGCGAGGCGGGGATGGTCAGACGACGCTCGCCGCCAATCGACATGCCGGCAATACCAATGTCCCAGCCGCGGATGACCTCACCCTTGCCAACGCGGAAGGAGAACGGCGCACCCTTCTTGTTGGAGTCGAAGACCTTGCCGTTCTCGAGCTTGCCAATGTAGCGCATGCCAACACGGTCGCCGTTCTTGACGACGCGGCCCGAGCCGATTTTGCGGTCGTCAATGGTGACGCCCTGGACAACCTTGACACCAAGCTTGCCCTTGTTGCCGTCCTTGCCAGCGTCCTTGCCAGCGTCCTTCTTGGCAGCGGCCTCCTTCACGGTCGAGCCGGAGGGGCCCTGCTCAAGGGTCTTGGCGAACTGGACACGCTTCTTGTCCTTCTCCTCCTGGGCGGCGACGGCGTCGCCGTCGTTGTTCTTGAGCTTCTTGGCCTGCTTCTTGCTCGGCTTGGTCTCGTCGGCGCCCGACTTGGCAATCAGGTCGTCGAGGCTGGGCTCGGCATCCTCAGCGGGGCGCTTCTTGCCCTTGCCCTTCTTGGCGTCGGTCAGCTGGGGAACCTCCTCGTCCGAGTCGACCTCCTCGATGCGGCCGGCGATCTCGTCGAGCTCATCGAGCTCGTCATTCTCGTCGCTGTCCAGCTCCTCCAGGTCAATATCGGGAGGCAGGTCGTAGTCGTCGTCGTCGTCCGAATCCTCCTCATCGCTGTCGTCGAACTCGCCATCGACAAAGTAGTTGCCCGTCAGGTGGACGGTGTGGCTGCCAAATACAGAGAAGAAGACAGTCTCGCCGGGATCAATGGTCAGCTCAAGCGGCTGCTGGTACGTCTTCTCGGTGTCCAGGGTGCAGACAACAAAGTCCTCAAGGACCGGAATATCGTCCTCGTCCTCGTCATCCTCATCCTCATCATCGTCCTCGTCCTCATCGTCCTCGTCATCCTCCTCAGTGGCAGGCTCCTTGCCCTTGCCAGAAGCGGCAGCCTTGGTGGCCTTGCTCTTCTTCTTGGAAGCGCCGTTGGCAATAGCAGCAGCATCCGCCATCTCAGCGTCCTCGTCCTCATCATCCTCGTCCTCATCCTCATCCTCGTCGTCTTCGGCCTCGGCAGCAGCCAGGAGAGCACGGAGCTCCTGCTTGCGGCGGGCCTTGGACGGGTCGCTGGGGCCACCGTTGGGCTCATCATCGCTCTCGTCGTCATCGCTGCCAGCAAGAATGCTGCGGAGGTACTCATCGTCGGAGTCCTCATCGCTGTCCTCGCTGAACAAGTCAATGGGGCGGCGCACAATGCGCAGGGTCGAGCGACCCGTAGACGGAATGTTGCCCTTGTCGTCGGCCTCGGCCTCGGCCGTGGGATCCAGAGCAGCCATGGAGATGTGAATCTGCGGCGGGGTGCAATGTTAGTATGTGGGATTACAAGATGGCAAACGGCGAGCCTTGGTAAACGAAAACGCAATCGCAGCTTGCACGACAACAACGACCGCAGTGGCCGCAAGCTACAATTGCCCGCCATTGCAGCAAGAAAACGCCAAAGACAAACGTACCGTAGCCGGAAGGTCCAGGCCGACCGGGATCAGAACGCCGCCAGGCGGCACCTCAAGGCCGAAAACGCCCTGCTGAGACATTGTGATGTGTTGTGTGGTTGTGAAGGGTGAAAATGAAAGATAGTGACTGCAAAGAACAGATGTACAGATCTAGGCAGCTATGCAAGGGTAGAGAATGATTGCAAATGCGAAATATGAAAAGAAAATCAAGATGCAAAGCAAAGGAAGGAAAGAGACGAAGAAAAAAAAGAGGTCAAAACGAACAAGAGCTTGAGCGACAGGAAAAACTGTAAATCTTTTTCTTCTTGTAACGAGGCGACGGCAGGCCAGGAAAAAAAATTAAGTGGGTCCTGGCGCCTTCTGGTTGGCCAGGAAAGTCTTTCTTCTGGCAGAAAAAACGAACTAAAAAAAAAATTAGCGACGCCCGCCGCCTTGCAGGTTTACAGACGGTCGTATGGCAGAAACCGCTGTTTCGGCAAGGCTTCAAGCTCACCGCGTATTGGAGGAGCATGTGGTGGGGTTAGTTCGCCCGTCGTGATTGGACAGCCTCAAGAATATGAAGGAGCCAGAGCCGTAAAGAGTGGTGTCCACTTTTACCTTTTGAGTTTTCGCTGCTAGCAGCTTCTTGCCCCTGGAAACTCAGTTGCACAGCCAAAAAAGGCGGTGACCAAACAGAATAAAAACGTCTTTATCGATAAGTGACCAGGAGACGACGGTGCAAAAGGTGCCACACCACTTACACGTGATTATTTGCTATGATGGGCCATCCGTCTTCACTTTGCACAAATGTTATGTCGTCTCATAGTTATCGCAGAGCATTCTTTTAGAAATAAATGCTGATCGCTATGGATATCATAAGAAGTTGGTTCTTTATTTACATGCGTCTTATTAGGTATTATCGGGAAGAAAATGGCACCGCTGAGGTTTTCTTTCCTGCGTGCGCCACCCAATCGACACCGCTGCGTTTGGTGTCTGTCCGTGATGTGTCTTTCCAACCAGTCGAAAATGAGAATAATATCTCAAAGGTAGCGAGTGTATGCTGGACCGTGTCCGGCCTGTGATCTGCTCCAAGAACTCCATGGGCCCTGATCAAACCAGAAAGGGGTGAAAACAAGAAAATAGGGTGAAGAAGAGGAAAGCAAAAAAGGGGCAAGTTGAGACTGGGAAAATGTACAAGCCCATAATTCTATATATCGCTTGCACAAGCTATAACATGCATCATAATCCCACGTTATACCGTCTATGTACACAATGTGGTATGGGTGAGAAGCGAAAAGGAGGCCAAAACTCAACTGCCCGAAACAAATATCGAGGCGGATATGGTAGTGGGACTCTGTTTGAGCTTTGACGGTAAACGTGTGTAGCTGCTGTCCGTAGGTCAAAAACGGCAGGGCCCGGGCTTCATCTCCCGAGATTCAAGGTAGAAAGCGAATGGTATATAGATGGCGAAAACGATAAATTGTGATTAAAAGGTGGTAGGGCAAAAAGGACGACAATGAAACAAAAGGTTTGGAAATGGAAAGGTCTGCTCTGGGCACGTCTCCTGTCAAGTCTTACGCCATGGCTTCGGCGGATGCCGACTTTGCCCGTTGACGGGTGACCTTTTTGCTGACGGTGTATACCAAATCCACAGTCCAGAAATGGCATATTTGCGCCTGGGCACAAGGAATCGCGCCGTAAATGGGAGCGACAAACGGGACCATAACGTAGTCGATAAAGTTCTTTCTCAGGGTGCGATACGAAAAGTTCATGCCCTTAGCGAGACCGGCATCAATCATCTCCTTTTCGCGAGTGGCGACAGCAATCTTATGGAAGTTTTCGTACATGAAGAGGTAGAATGCAATCTCCATGAAGCCGAGTGTACGAAGGTACGTGCAAATCTCAAAGATCCAGCTGACGCGGTGGATGTCGTCGGCACCGTCGGTCACCCACATGTACAGAGTCGATGCAATAACAAGAATGGTCATCTGAACAGGAAGAAAGTGGGCTTCAAAGAGTCGGTGGAACAGAACTATCAGGCGGAAATAGTTGGGTCCCTTGATGGTTTCGCATGTAATATCAGAGAAGAATCCGTTGTCAACAGCCTGGTCTGAGCTGACGCTGTCGGTAAAGGTATCAAGTTGCACATCAGGAACGTAGTTGTCGGTCAAGGCGTTCAAAGAGGCATGTAGGGGGCGGAAAGTGCGCGACGTCTGCTTGCGATTCCGCCAGAGCTCGGCCATCTTGCGGAGGGCGAAGCCGGTATCGAGCGCACCCCACATGTGGCGCAAAGCTTGCTTATAGCGAGCACGCATGTCCGAGACAAGACCGCCCACACCCTTTCCGTAGCCACCGGCCGTGACGTTCGTCTGGCTGATAGGGCTAAGAACAGTCCGCACGGTCAGATTGCCGTTCAATGCAAAGAAACACTTGAGGTACATGTGCAGGTCTTCGCCAATCGCTTCGGAGTCACAGTCCCAGCCACCAACACGGTCAACAAGCTGAAGAGGGAGCGAGTAGACGGATGTGGGAGGGGAAATGGTCGATCCGCGGTACAGGCCCGAAAGACCAGCGGCACACCACAGAATGTCGGCGACACGGACAATGGCAGGGACGCTGTGAGCATTGCGGTCGAAGATAATAGGAGCAGCATAGAGGGTCGTGGTAGCCGTTTCCGGAAAAGTCAGATGCATCTTTGTGACCAGAGCAAAGAAATTGGACGACAAGTGACTGTCAGCTGTAGGGAGGACGAAAAAAAAGAGCCAGTGGTTAGCGAACAGTTCCGATGCTCCATGGAGGGACAGACCATGACTTACCATCAATGCCGGTGACTATGACGTCCTTGCGGCAAGCGACCAGATATTTCTCGCTCAGCTTGCGCGCTGCCCAGTCGACATTGCTTCCCTTGCCAGGACAGTCGTTGGGTAGATCAGCAGGGTGCAGTGTGAAGTCAATGCTGCGAAACTTCTTAACAAACTCGGCGATGAGGGTCATGGCCTTGACGTCAGCATTGCTCTCACGCTGCTCCATGGCAAGATACACCTGGTGGGGCGGTCGTTAGCAGTCCGTTGTCTTTCAATACATGCCAGTGAGAAATGGAGCATGGCGGAATCAATATAACATACATCGTAGCTGCTGCGGGCCATCGGGTGTGATGCTAGAACATCGAGAGTTTCGCGAAGCGTGTCCATTTCTTCCTTGTAGTTGGGAATGATAATCGCGTGGATAACACGGCCTTGGTCCGCTTCGGAGTCGGTAGTGAATTCGGTGTCAGCATCGCCAGCATCGCTGTTGGCGCTCGACGAAGCGCGGGACGAGGTGAGCGTCACGGAACTGGACAGAGACGTGGATGAACTCCGGCGGCGGTGGCCAACCTTGTAGTCCTTGAGGGGCCTGTTGCGAGCAGACTTGCGGAGCGAAGTAGTGAGGTCCCAGATGGCCCAGCAGGCGCGTAGGGGGAATGTGAAGACCATGACGTGAATTAAAAGGCAGTACCATGAGAAGATGACGGTCCAGACGCCGGCGCCGTTGGGCGAGTAGCGTGGAGCACTTAAGCTGTCGTCTGGCTGGGCCTGGTAGCCATATCGTGAAGCCGCCGACTCTCGTGATATAACCAAATAGCTGAGGATGCCAAGCCAGATCATGGCGAGGCCGCCCGACCGTCTGGCGCACCAGGTGAAAAGAGACATGACTAGGAAGTCCGGAGGTGCTGCGAGAGTAGGAACAAGTAGGGATAAAGTCGTAATAGGTGGTTCCTAGGGACGAAATCAAGAAATAAATAGGAGGCCGCGGCCGCACGCAAACACGCTCGATGAGGGCGTGTCTCGTCAGGAGAACAGACTGTAGGTCCCGGTATGAAGAAGTCGGCGGCGTAAATTAGGTGTTCTGTAGGAGGGAGAAAGGCGAGCAGACGAGATCGGCTGAAGGTTGTGCGGTGCTATCAAAGAGGCGTTATTATGGTCCTCCGGCGTCTTGGTGCTTCTGAGAGAAGCAAAAGAGAATTACGCACGAGGAGTAACGACGGCCGCTTGGGAAGTTGCGTTTTCTGGTTGCAGAGGAAGCTGCGACCGAGTCGACATACAAACAAGGAAGGAGCCCGAGTTCCAAGTGGAGAGAATAGTAGGTTGAGAGAGGGGAGCTGCAGCAACAACAACAAAAGGAGGCAAGGGGGTCAACAAAGAGAAATGCACGGAGGCTAAAATAAAGACCAAGGCAGAATAATAAAAATAAGAAGGTGAAAGGAAAAACAATAAATTAGGGGAGAGATAATATGGCCAAGAGGGAAGGAAGTAAAGAGGAAGGAACGGGGAGAGGGGCATTGAAACATGAAAATAGGGAAGGAGCAAGACTTTCAGGGGAGGCGAATGAAAGCTAAAGGGTGTGTTTAACAGAAGACTGCTCAGCTGGTCTGAGGAGGACAAGAGACACGATGTTGAACAGCTGAAGAGTCTTAATTTATGAAGACGAAATATGCCCTCCAGCCCCAATACGGACCAGGCAGCATCGCAAGGGGATGGCACAGGAGAATAGTGCAACGCTCCGTACGCCGTAGAGGACGCCCGAGAGATGCTACAAAAAGAAACGGAGGAGCCCTTACAACAAATGGCAAACTGGGCCACGAGAGACGAGTGGAGCGTAGATTCGAAGGGCAAGGGCCAAGCGTTTGGATGCAAAAGAAGAAAAGCATGGAGGGAAGGAGCGACCGATACACAAGGGACAGGGTCACGGAGTACGACATGCAAAAATCATAAATTAGCAAAACGGACATTGACAGCCACGTTGAGAGCAAACGAGGAGCAGGAGACGGAACATGTTTCTGGGAATATTGTTTGAACGGCACCAGAACGACTAACACGGGCCGGCAGCCCAGTTTCATACGAGGACAGGGAATATGACGACGGAAGCCAGACCAAAGTGCACTCCATGGCGTACTTTTTGGGCTAAGATCGATGGCGCTAGCGCCGTTGTTTTCAGTTTCGCTTGCCACTCTTGCCTTACGTTCTCGTTTTCTTCTACCTGCGCTGGTTGTTAATTTGCTCTCAGTGCCTTTGCTTGTGCGACATATCACCCCGTACTCCCTCTTTGGTAGCAAGCAGCCAGGT